AGCTCGGCCAAAATCGTCGCCGCCGACGTATCCCCAAACAATAGCAAGGTCGGTAAAATTCATCAAGTGCTAGGAAGGAGGAGCAACTTCGCGAGCAGAGACGTCTACGTAAATAAGAAAGGATCTCGTAAAAAATTGGCAAGACATTTAAAGAAGACAGACAAAAAAATAGAGGCTCAAAAAGGCCGACGTACTTGTCGTTCTCCACTATAAGGGGCAACTCAGACCAACATACTCGGGGTTGGTCTCTCTCTTCTAGGGCCCGTTAAAGACCAGTAGGTCATCCTTGTACCCCTTATCTGAATCAGGGAGGTGAGTCACTAGGTACATGGATGAGTCTCTAGCCGTGAGATAGAAATTTTGCTGGGGCATTATCCTCAGCAAGGAATAGCAGAAGAGAATGTCATTGAGACCAAGGTTAACCCCGAGACGCTTGTTGAGTTCTATGACCCCCATTACTATCCTAAAGACATTCAGGCAACATTGTCTGGGGACGAGATCGAACCGGGAAAGGAATTAAAGGAGTAAAGGGGACAAAGGGAATCTTATCCCACCTTCTATAATAGCCTTGGTATAGAAAGACATTGCATCCTCGGTCCCAACATCACGATTATACCGAGCAAGTTTGAATTCCTCTATACCAACATTACTAGGAATGCGATAACGGGTTCTAAAACTCTTTATCTGCTGATCCCCCTTAACCTTATATTTTCCTGGCCTCGAGGGACCAGCACTTTGGATCTCAGTGTCAAGGGCGGGTCCTAGGCATCTCTACGAAGGAAATAAGGATTTCTCTTCCTAAAAGGGTCCTAAGGAGGGTTTTTTTTTTTTCAAATCACTAGGAAGGTTGATGGGGACCAGAAAACCGTCGATCACCGAAAAAACCAGAAGGAAAAGGAAGAAAAAGAAACAAAGGACTCACCAGAGAACTAAGGGAAGGGTCTGGAAGCTTAGAAGGATTTGTTTCGTCGTCGAAAGTCTGGTGGCAAGAGGTGGCACAAGTGTTTTTGCTTCGGTGATGGTTGCAAAGGCGGTGGTGCAAATTGGTTCTCTGAGGAGTTTTTCGATGAAAGCTCTTGTTAGTTTCTTCGTATAAACTAAAATATGGGAAAGAGAGGGGGGTTCAATTTATATAGTAATTGTCCCCATCATTGTGCACAAAACACTAAAAGGCGCATTTAATGTGCATAATCTCCAAAGCGACGAAAAACGATTGGGAGCAATGATGAGGTGGTTGGGACATTTATGTAACCCTTCGCCTTCTGATGACACGTCTCCCCTGCATCAGAAGATCAAAAGGCTGGGGGCAGTTGATAGGATATTTTTGGAAGAAGACAGATCGACGATACGTGTCCTCGGTATCATTATGTTCCCAGCTATGTTTGGCCACGTGTCCTCAGCGACATTCATCCATCTGCCGAGGCGATAGTGCTCGAAGCCAAGGGATCCCCCCAATCGACGTGATCAACATATATGTCCTTGGCTTAGAAGAAACCCCTGACCCCAAGATAGACAAATATGCCTCGGTGCCGAGGTGTTCCTTCTGTACGCTGGATCCCACCTCTCCTCTGCTTCTACAAAAGCTAGTGATTGATAAATGGCTAAACTAGGCCAAGCTAGGCTAATCATCATGAAGACGCTCTGCTAAATGGTGTCAGGAATGCAGAACATGCAACCAAGGAGGGGTGGATGCGTGAAATTTGGTATCAAATCAATAGCACAAAGACCTGGGTACCCCTGCTGACACATAACTGGAGCAAGTAAGCATTTAATGAATCCTCCTCCTCATGAGACAACAATTAAGGCATGGGGGCCGAGAAATGAAGTGTATTAAAGACCCCCATACCTGGGCATTTAATACATCCTCGTCGAAAAGGGGAAATTGAATGCTCGGCAAACCGAAGAGTGAGTTTTAAATGCTTGGCATCCCGATCAATTAAAGCAAAGTCCATTCCCCATAAAAATGAAAAGGCACACTGCCCCATCTCTGACAAATACCTGCTGGATGAACTATCATCAATCATGAGTTTTTGAAGGTATAAATAGTTCTCAAAAATGCATTACAAAGGTATGTAAGAAATTCCAAAAAGAGATACACAGTGTTTTCTTCTTCCCCTTTCTCAATTATTGACTTGATCGTCGGAAGGGATACGCCGGAGAGCACTCTGAAACCCTTCTAACCTGTTTTTCTGTGTCAATGGATTCCCCTACAGTCTTCCAGGACCGGTCAGGCGACCCAACAAACAACTTATCACCAGTCCTTAGGGCCCCTTTGTCCCTCTCAACCTATCTCTTATTGCCAAAATTCACGTTCGGATGGGTCAAATCTAAACCAGAGGCGATCGAAATCTTGAAAGCAAACCTTCTGTTCCATCGGAATTACTATCTGGGCAAACCATAGTTCATCGCGGGAGAGATCTGTTCCTACTCCTACTATTGTGTAAAAATTGGCATGCACAATAGATACCAAATTTATACCTCCATTCGAAAATGTTGTGCACATGTGTCAAATTTGTGCATCAAATAATTGTCATCCGTTCGTGTTATGGACTTCATTGTCATCCAACAACCAACAATCATTTGGTGTACAAATTTAATATCTTAAGATCCACACCTCTTCCTCTCTCATAACCTTTCACCCCCCC